GAAACTTGGAAACCTATGTTCTTGTCATTTGTATTAAAGCTGCAGACAATCAGTTTATCTTTCACTATTTTTCCATCTCCTAATACTCTGCTACTGACCCGCCCCCTACAGCCCCGTCCATGACACAGTGTTTTACATTATGAAAGGGATATCCCCTTGGGGGAATCTGGCTCCTCTGCCTCTCTGAGTAACTTGTCTGCTTTGGGGGAAACCACGCTGACACCCACACTCCGCCTTGTACTTTCCCAACTGGATGTTCGCCGCAGGGGTCCAACAGCCCACGAGCAGATCTGTCACAGCACTGTACCCGCAGGAATGCAAACCAAGACAAGCTCCATAACTCTGGGCAAGGCTCAGCCTATGGACCCAAAGATGCAGAGACTGGCAAGCGCTCAGAGCAGCATGGGGCAGGGAGTGTTGCCAGAGTGCCTGTGTGCACGTCCCTGCCCAGCTCTCCGCTGGACTTCTTGGAGCCTTTCAGAGAGGGCTGTCTCTGCATCCCCAGCACTTGCTATGGAGACTGCTAACAGTGGTGAATGCCTGAATTAGCAAGTTCATGTTTAGCTCACCAACCAGGGAAGATACTGAAGAGATACCAAAGACAGCCAGCCAAGGCCCTGCCTTACTTACCACCTATGTCTGTCTGAAACACGGGAGAAAGCAGGTCATAAGGCAGAGCCTGACACTGCAGACGAGCAGTTCAGATGAAACCAGCTAAAACTAAACAAGATGTGTACCATTAACAACATGAAAATGTTAAAGAGTTGAAATTGAGTTCTGTGGAAGTTAGCGCAGTGACACTTTGGGACAATTAGGATGTGCTGGCTTGTGCTGCAGACAGAGGAAAAAGACATCCATCCAGACCAAGCCTTGGCTCTGGACCCGAATGTGTTGTGCTAACCTTGCCTGCTGGTGAGAGGGAGGGAGGACCATCGCAAGCACCTGCTTCACTTGCCACAATTGCCTTGTCCATGAAATTGGAGCTTATGGAAGTTTGTGCCCACGGCTGGGGAAGCTCGTGTCGCAGAGAGGAGACGCTCACTGCACCTTCAAGGTTGACCAGGCAAGGCCTCTATGACGAGGCAGAAGCTGAAGGGACAGTAACACAGGCTGGCCCTGCTGTACAAGGTTCTATCAGTCGACGGCAGCATGCAGCAGTCCACAGCAACAGCACTCGCTCCGCTGTCATCCACTCACCACACGCTGCGTGGGCACACTGAGTGCGTCAGCTTTCCTTGGGACCTGACACAGTTGGGGAAGGACCTACTACCTAAGTTGTTCGTCAGAAATCTATAAGCAAAATAGTTCTTTGTACTTCTCTTAAATATCACCCAGGCTACAAAACTGCAGGACAGTGCTAGCATAGGCTCAGAACTAACCATCTGTAGGGTTTTCTCAAGTAAACCCATCTAAATCAAAACATGCTGGGCGTTCCGGGCTCCCTACTATGCTTCTTGGTCCCTGGGTCTCTGACGCCAAGGCTGCCTCTGCAGGGGCGCTCGCCACACCCCACCAACCCCGCCAGGGCTGGGCACCACCTCCAATCTCTGCTCTGTCCTCCATGAGGACAGCCCCAGCTTCGAAGGGGACATTCATCTATATCTTCCAAACCTTCAGACAACCTGCCTTGGGTGTCCTTCCAAGTCCTTCTGTCTGAGAGCTGTTGCTCTCCCGGGATGACCAGATCCTGACAGACAAGAAGCTCACTGAGAATGCCACAGAGCCTGGACTAAGTGCAGAAGCCCTGTGCAGGAGTCAGCAGCCCGGCAGAGCAGACATTCCCTAGCATAAGTCACTACTAGGCAGTCCGGGCAAGTCGAAATCAGGATGTATGTACTATAAGATGGTAATTTCTCCAACTTCGTGCAAAGGCAGGAGACAAAGCTGGAAAACCCGTGTGGAAGTGATGGCCATGCAGCTCGGAAACTCTCTGTGGCGCAAGGCTGGCTCTGGGAGATTCCCATGGACAGGGGAGGAACCGCAACTCCCAGGGAACCCTGGGACTCTGCGCAAGCACTCTAAGCCACTGAAAAGCACACGGTCAGACAGTGCTGGCCGGAGCAGCAAGCAACATTTACACAGAAAAGTCACGGGGCACTGAACAGGTAAGAATTTTAGAGCTTCCTTATGCAGATCTAAATCTCCTTGGCACAAGAATATGCAAATGCAGCCAGCTCACCCACATGGCATGCGACGCACATTTTTTTTTTTTGAGAAGTGAAAGTCTGAACATAAACTAAGAAACATTCTTTTTTATGGTTATTGCCTCTTGGCGTTGGATGGGGGTGGGACCTTTAATTGCTTGGGGAGGGGAGAAGAAGAGAGAAGGAGAGGGAGAGAAGAGAGAAGGGGGAAGTGGGGAGAGGAGAGGGAGACAGAGAAGGAGAGAGAGGAGGAGAGAAAGGAAGAATAGAGAAGGGGAGGAAAAGAGGGAGAGAGAGTAGGAGAGGAAGCAAGGGAGGGGAGGGGAGGAGGGAGGGGAGGAGGGAGGGGAGGAGGGATGGAGGGGAGGAGGGAGGGGAGGAGGGAGGGGAGGAGGGATGGAGGGGAGGAGGGAGGGGAGGAGGGAGGGGAGGAGGGGAGGAAAGCGAGGGAGGGGAGGAGGGAGGGGAGGAGGGAGGGGAGGAGGGAGGGGAGGAGGGGAGGAAAGCGAGGGAGGGGAGGAGGGGAGGGGAGGAGGGAGGGGAGGAGGGAGGGGAGGAGGGAGGGGAGGAGGGAGGGGAGGAGGGAGGGGAGGAGGGAGAGGAGGAGGGGAGGAAAGCGAGGGAGGGGAGGAGGGAGGGGAGGAGGGAGGGGAGGAGGGAGGGAGAGTAGGAGAGGAAGCAAGGGAGGGGAGGAGGGAGGGGAGAATGAGGAGGAGGAGGGGGGGATATGATGTTTGTCCCTCACCAATATCCCCCTTGGGAAAAACTATTTAAGAGTTGGGTTTTGTGGGGATTTTTTTCCATCTAGTAAGAATTTAATGAATCGTGGTTAATGCAAACACTAAGATATCTCTCCTCCAGGGAGAATAAATGGGGGTTCCAAGGTAACCTACGTAAACTCCCCTGAGATGATTCCTGAACCTTCTCTGCAGCCTCACACCGCCCACTGACACACGTCACTGAGACAAGTCTGGAAGGAGACGCAAAGCCTGTAGAAGGTTCGAGACAGGCTGAGATGTTGGCTCAGGGACCTTGGTTTCCGAATGCACTGATGTCCTTGTTTTGTTTCCATGTCTCCAGAAACACACACCTTCCACAAAGGTCAGGCCACAGTGTCCCAGGCAAGGCTGAGCTGGCTGGGGACTTGGCTTCCTGCGGGCCAGGTGCCAGCGTCCTTCACCCTGCAGCAAGCTCCCCGGGCACATTCCCAGGGGATGTGTGGCAGAGCTCCTGCCCATACAGGTTGCTGGAGGGACAGAGCATAGAAACCCTGTCCCTATGAACACACGCTATCCGCTCAGACTCAGTGCCGCCTCCCTCGGCAGGCCCCGCAGGGGCCCCTCCCTGCCGAGCTTCCTGCCTGCGTGACGACCTCCACGGGGAGATTCTAACATCGCAAGCTCTTCACCTGAGCTGTCTCTCCCTAACTTGGCTCAGCGCTTGCCATCCAGGCTGAGGGCCACTGGAAGGAAGGCCTCACGGGAACTGTGGGTGGCCAACCTGCAGATCTGCACGGCAAGGACGACCTGAGCTGAGCACTGGAGAGCCACGCCACGCGTGGTGGCGGAGGGAGACTCCGAGGCCAAGCTGTAGGCAGTGTTCATGTGCCACGGAAAAGACCCAGAGAAAGTACCAAGGGGCCCTGTGTAACAGCCCAAGGTGCCGTCTCGGGCTTCAGCGGGCTCACCCTTGCACACCCACACTTTAAAAAAAAAAAGCAAGCAGAATGAGTGAGTAATATTAAAACACAGCCTCACTCCACTGCACAGACCTCACACGACGAAGGGCCGGGATGGACGCGTACCCTCCTCACACACCTCGAGCCACACTGAGACCTGGTGTCAGGCCGCGGGAATCCCCTTGCCAGGGCGCAGAGGCGCTCGCTGACTCAAAGCAGAATCGAGGGGCCAGGGAGAGGACTTCCCCCAGGGCTGACTAAGAACAGCACTCTGGTTCTGAGCCGTCACACCAAGTGACCATGAAGTGAGCCAAAGTCCTCTCCAAAAAATGTGATTTTTTGACCTTTTCCTCCCCTACCTGACTCTAAGACTGACTTCAGGGTAAAACGCTCCAAGTGTTTAGGGGCGCACACGCGAGGAGGCACCGAGGGCTGCTGCTCTAGGCGAAGCTCCGGGACGCGGGCAGCGGCGGACGGACGAGCCGGTCATCCCGCGCACTGCACGACCAAGCGCCACGAAATAAATGACCAACCACACAACGAGCAGGTGCTTCAATTGGTGAGTAGTCCCTTCACATTCTAAAACAGCAGTGCAGTCCCCAGGAATTCTTACAACGGAGAGTCATTAGCAGAAAAGAGTAATGGGATGGGGGCTGGCACATAGCGTAGTGGTTAAAGTCCTCGCCTTGCACGCACCAGGATCCCATATGAACACCAGTTCTAATCCAGGCATCCCCACATCCCTTCCAGCTCTCTGCTTGTGGCCTGGAAAAGCAGTCAAGGATGGCCCAAAGCCTTGGGACCCTGCACCCACATGGGAGAATCGGAAGAGCTCCTGGCTCCTGGCTTTGGATTGGCTCAGCTCCAGCTGTTGTGGCCACTTGGGGAGTGAACCATTGGACGGAAGATCTTCCTCTCTGTCTCTCTTCTCTGTATATCCGCCTTTCCAATAAAATAAATAAATCTTTTAAAAAAAAAAAAAGAGTAATGAGGTGGGAAGAAGTCAAACCCCTAACTGCCTGGGAAAGCAGCAGCACACGGGCCGAGCGCTTGGGCCTCCAGCATCCATGTGTGAGACCTAGACAGAGCTCCTGGTTCCTGGGCTTGGCCCCACTCAGCCCTGATTACTATGGCCACTTGAGGAGTGAACGTGTGGGCAGAATATTCTCTCTCTAAATTTAAAATAAGTAAATAAAAATTTTAAAAAAGAATATACAGAGTTAAAAAAATATCATAGCAGGATTTAAAACCCAGCAGGTGCCACCAGATGAAGATGGTTAACAAAGCCTTCTGACGGAGACCGCACTGTGCTTAGGGACCTGCCTCCAGAAGGCCGCGCACCGAGACACGGTGTCCCAGACAGGACAAGGCCCCGCACAGGTGGAGGCCACGCCCACGGCATGCCCGGGCTGGGCATGGCAGAGCCATCACATCATCCCATCTTCCTCCGCAAAGCAATGCCCTCCACCCAGCCCTGGCCTGGTAACCGGGACCAGAGGGAGGGGGAACCTCAAAACTGACAAGGCTGTCCAAAGCAAACACGTGAGAACGTGGGAGACAGGGACAGCTCTACGGCACAGGATCTTCCGAGTGAAGGGTCCAAGAACATGCATGGGCTCTGGGTCACTCGGTTCCTCCACTGCAACAAGTGTGACACGCACAGGCAGAGTTAGCAACGGGAGCGACGGCGCCAGGGCAGATGGGAACCCAGACAACCCCTGCAGCTCTTCTTGAAATGAATCCACTGAAACGTTAAAGCTCGGAATCTGCGGACGGCACTACAGGTGTGCACACCGCCAGGTGAGCCAGCAGGGATGAGAGGTGGCCACGATCTGGCCCGTCCTGTGAGCGGACTGCCGCGCAGCCCCAGCCAAGGCGGGGACCTGTCTGGGAGATGCCAGGAGGCACAGATGGCGTGTGCGTGATGAGCCCCCACTCTCCCAAAGTGCCGAACGCCCCCATCTGAAGTGAAAAGCAGGCAGTTTTATGCACGAAAAAGACAAAGACTAAAGGGGCTGGCTGGGAGCCCATAGCGGTGCTGTAAAAACACATGACAAGCCAGTCCTCACACTTCACTGAGCACAAGGCGAGCCAGCGAGCAGGTGCACAGGGTGCCAACGGCTTCCCTTGCAGACTGGACCCGCGGGGCCCTGCAGCCTGCCTCCTTCCTCACCAGACAGCACACGGCGGGACAGAGTCCACAGCAACACTGAAAAGGCTTCTGAAAGCAGCGACCTCTCAGACTGACGGCTGGGGAACCCGTGGCCCACACTGGCCATGTTTGGGCACCAGGGAGACAAGGCCTTTGATGTGCAGCTCAGCGCAAAAAACATGCTGTCTCTGCAGAATAAACACGTGGCATGACTGTGTGTGCTGCCACGGGGTCTCTAATTGCCTCGAATTTAAATCCTGAAAGAAATCTGGGCATTTAACGGCTCTTGCTGCAAAGTTCCAGAATTTATTAACTAGATGAATATGCAAACACTCACATTGGGCCAGAAAATTAAAATACAAATGCCTTTAATTTTTTCAAAAACAAACATATTGTCAATCAAAGTCATAATAGTTTTAAAGCAAACTTGACCAAATTAGTTTGAAGTTCATCTGAAAGAATGATACAGAAATGGCTCAGAAAAGCCATTTGAGCCAAATGAGAAAAATGCTCCACCACACGCAGAGATGCACAGTGACAGCTCTAATCGAGAAACTGACACAGACAGTGGGGGCACGGTGCTGCCCGGGACACCTGCAGCCCGCATCCTGGAGCTGCCCGCGTCCCAGAGCTGGCCGGGACACCTGCAGCCCGCGTCCCAGAGCTGGCCGGGACACCTGCAGCCCACGTCCCAGAGCTGCCCAGGACACCTGCAGCCCACGTCCCAGAGCTGCCCGGGACACCTGCAGCCCGCGTCCCAGAGCTGCCTGGGACACCTGCAGCCCGCATCCTAGAGCTGCCCGGGACACCTGCAGCCCATGTCCCAGAGCTGCCCGGGACACCTGCAGCCTGCATCCCAGAGCTGCCCGGGACACCTGCGTCCCGCGTCCCAGAGCTCAGGTCAAGTTCTAGCTGCCCGGGACACCTGCGTCCTGCGTCCCAGAGCAGCCCGGGACACCTGCAGCCCGCGTCCCAGAGCTGCCCGGGACACCTGCAGCCCGTGTCCCAGAGCTGCCCGGGACACCTGCGTCCTGCGTCCCAGAGCTGCCCGGGACACCTGCGTCCCGCGTCCCAGAGCTGCCCGGGACACCTGCAGCCCGCATCCCAGAGCTGCCCGGGACACCTGCGTCCCGTGTCCCGGAGCTCAGGTCAAGTTCTAGCTGCCCAACTTCCCACCCAGCTTCCTGCTGATCAGCACCCCAGCAGACGGCAGTTCATGGCCCAAGCACCTGGGGTCCCTGCTACCCTTGCGAGAGAATCAAACTGAGCTCTGGGCTCCCAACTTCGGCCAGGCCCAACCTTCACTGTTGTAGGCATCTCTTCCTCTGAAATAAAATAACCAGGCATAGTGAGTTAGGCCTCCATCTACGGAGCAAGGGTATACCTCCTGGCTTGGTCCTGACCCAGCGCTCTGGGGAGTGAACCAGTAGATGGAGGCCTCATACCTCTCCCCACTCCTCCCTCCTTATAACTCTGCCTTTCAAATAAACAAGTAAAACATTTAAAAAAAAAACTTTCAATAGAAAATAAAGATTATTTCCATCAGACCCGAGGCTAAGGAGAAAGACACAGAGAAGCAACACTCACAGGAAGGGCTGGCACTATTACAAGGCCACCGTGCCCGAGCCCACAAAGGGAACCATGTCCAAAGTCAAGTCCCACGCCACAGGCAACAAGGAAGCGGTGTGCAGAACACAGAACCCAACTAACCATACAGAGCAGGCACATCACAGGAGAAACCCAGAAACTTACTCATTCCCCATCTCACAACGATCAAGCTATAGGAGACACCACTGTACGCCCTTGGCACGTCCGACAACATGGGTGCGTAAGTGGACACACAGACAGGCCAGCTCCTTCCAAGGAAAACTGCATCACTGCTGGAATGCAAAGCTGTGCAGTGTGCTCATAGCCTAGAACGTTCCGCAGAGGTGACTCTGACGCATGCACATAAGGCGACAGCACGCGTTTCACATCTGTTCCAATGCCAAAAAACTGCAAACAATTGGACATCTATCAATAAGACGCTATTTGAAAACCGTGACATGTTTATAAAATGAATACAATGAAACAATTAAAATAAGTGAATCCGAGCTACAGAGTAGAGCAATATGAAACGCTTCTCAAAGCATGTCATCGGGGACAAGCCGCGTGGACGGCGGTGGCTGCTGTGGCATGCTGCCAGGGTCCCCTGGAGGACTGCAAGGCTCCTCTGGCTTCCAGGAGACACTGCCCATGGCAGAGCCACCCCTCCCAGCTGAGCAGTCATCCCCCACAGCACACCCCGAAACGTCCCCACCTTCCTGTCACGGCCTCAGCCCAGTTCTCCCTCGGCTTCCTCTTCATTCAGGCAGGTGGTTTGGAACTCAGCACCCTAGGCAGCATGTTAATGGGCACTAACAGAAATGAAATTGGCAAGGGACCTCATATGAAAATACTTCAGAAAGTAAGAAAATTGAATTAAGTTTATTTGGTGCTGAACATTTGTTTAAAGATGTATTTATTTTATTGGAAAGGCAGGTATAAAGACAGGAAGAGAGACAGAGAGGAAGATCTTCCATCTGCTGATTCACTCCCTAAGGTTCTTCCAAGTCTCCCACGTGGGTGCAGGGTCCCAAGGCTTTGGGTCATCCTGGATTGCTTTTCCAGGCCACAGGCAGGGAGCTGGGTGGGAAGCGGGCTGGCCAGGACAGGAACTGGCACCCATCCTTAGGGTCTGCTTTCCTCGGAAGGTGACTTGCAACAGAATTGTATCAGCTTATAAAACATGATCTCAATGCAACCGGCTGTGAAGCAGCACTCTGTGTGTCAGGGAATACATGTGCATTCAGTAATGCTTAAAATCAATAAAACTAAAACAAACAAAGGGTATGAAGAGGATACACTCCAAAGTCAGAGAGAGGGCAACCTCTGAGAGGCAGAACTGAGACTGGGGACAGGCTGGCGCAAGCCCCGGGAAGTGCCACAGGACCCTGGGCACCTGCTCAAAGAGGCCGACCCCGGGGAGTGCCACAGGACCCTGGGCACCTGCTCAAAGAGGCCGACCCCGGGGAGTGCCACAGGACCCTGGGCACCTGCTCAGAGAGGCTGACCCCGGGGAGTGCCACAGGACCCTGGGCACCTGCTCAAACAGGCCGACCCCGGGAAATGCCACAGGACCCTGGGCACCTGCTCAGAGAGGCTGACCCCGGGGAGTGCCACAGGATCCTGGGCACCTGCTCAAACATGCCGACCCCGGGAAGTGCCACAGGACCCTGGGCACCTGCTCAAAGAGGCCGACCCCGGGAAGTGCCACAGGACCCTGGGCACCTGCTCAAAGAGGCCGACCCCGGGAAGTGCCACAGGACCCTGGGCACCTGCTCAGAGAGGCTGACCCCGGGAAGAACCACAGGACCCTGGGCACCTGCTCAAAGAGGCCGACCCCGGGAAGAGCCACAGGACCCTGGGCACCTGCTCAGAGAGGCCGACCCCGGGAAATGCCACAGGACCTTGGGCACCTGCTCAGAGAGGCCGACCCCGGGGAGTGCCACAGGACCCTGGGCACCTGCTCAAAGAGGCTGACCCCGGGAAGAACCACAGGACCCTGGGCACCTGCTCAAAGAGGCCGACCCCGGGAAATGCCACAGGACCCTGGGCACCTGCTCAAAGAGGCCGACCCCGGGAAGAACCACAGGACCCTGGGCACCTGCTCAGAGAGGCCGACCCCGGGGAGTGCCACAGGACCCTGGGCACCTGCTCAAAGAGGCCGACCCTGGGGAGTGCCACAGGACCCTGGGCACCTGCTCAGAGAGGCTGACTACAAAGTAATTTCCTCTACTTTCTTTCTGCCACAATCAACACAACGATGATACTCCTTCACTGCTGGGAGCATGGTGTTTACACATTGTTTCAAAAGTATTTATCTGAAATGCAGAGGCAGACAGAATTCTATCACCCCGGAATGTTTACATGAGGCAGCGCAAGGCCAGCGTGTAGTTTAGACCCAGAAACGCAACCCAGGGCCACAGGTGGAAGGACCTGAGGATTCATACACCACCTGCTGCCTCCTGGGCGCACAGCAGCTGCAGACGTGGAGCCAGGACTCAGGGCGCCTAGGTGAGACGCAGGCTGCACCAACACGGGATTTAACACAGTTCCTGGTGAGAGGAGCTGCGGGGCACAGACAGGGCTGCACAATTCTGTTTTCAATGTGGCAAGTCTGAAATGCATTTACAAGTCTGCAACTCCTTACAGCTATCAGTAAGCTCTTAGAACAGGCTGCTACAAAGGTAAGATACAATTATGCCTAATTTCTACAGCAATTTTACTTCTCTTTCTTAGCTCAAAAAAAATGATCAGATTTTGAGTGAATGGCAGTGAAATTACAGGATAACTTTAATTTTGTCAAGTTTCCATACGTAATAGCACCCTAATTTGAACAGGGCAATCTGTGGATTGGGATAATGTTTAATTGCCACGAAAAAAGTACAGAGAAAACTTTTAAAAAGTAGGATTCACAGTAAAAAGAAATGCCTAGGACTGTTCTTGCTAAATGCAGAATACAGTATTATAATTGTTAGCATGTGAAATGCTCATGACAAATACTAGCAAAATAGATTGCAAATGTTGAACCAAAGGAGACATTCAAATGAAATATTCACATAACGGAGATGCAACTGCACGTTTCCCAAATCTATTAGGCAAATGTACACCTGCCAGCTCTCCCTCTCAGCTCTGATCTCAGCTTCTGCGTTTTAGTATTCACTCTACAGTCAGTTTCACAGCCTAAGAGTCGGGCCATGAAATCTGTTTTTCCTTGTTTTCATCCCTATCTCGGGGGGGGGGAGGGCGGTGATAACAAGACAGTAAAACATCCCACAGTCCGCAGACTCAGTGCGAGAGAGACAGGAGGGAAACGGTCCTAGACTGTGCAGTCCCCTTGGGGCATACAGGCAAGGCACGCACCTAAAGCATCAAGAACAACAATTCAGTTTAAGGGCCACTACACAGAAAACAAGTTTTAGGCTTCACATTTCATATAAAAGATTTGTTGGACAGTGCTGTGGCACAGCAGGTAAAGCCACTTCCAGCATCCTGTAGGGACGCTGGCCTAACATTTATGCTCAGTTTAAAAAAAGACTTACTGAGCTTTAGTAGAAAGGCAGATTTGCCAGAAAGCGAGACTTTTCATCTTCCGGTTCCACTGCGCAAACGGCTGCAGCGGAAGCTGGGAGCCAGGAGCTTCTTCCCAACTTGCCACATGGACTTGGGCCATCCTCCACTGCTTTCCCAGGCCACAAGCAGGGAGCTGCATGGGAAGTGGAGCTGCCGGGACTCGAACTGGTGTCCACGCGGGATGTTGGTGCCGCAGGCAGAGGGTCAGCTTGCTGTCACTGTGGCATTCCCCCCAGCCATGTTTTCTTTGTTGTCTCCTTTGTGCTTTCTATTGAAACATGACTTTTCACCATGGAAAACAGCATTATGCGAGAGAAGGACCGATCCTCTGCAGAGCCTCATGAGCGACGCAGCACGTGGCCCAACCACAGCAGGGATGTGTGGCCCGGCAGGGAGGAAGGGACAAGATGTAGGTTCCCATTTGGGAGCTGGGGGTAGCAGCTGCCAGCCACAGCTGGACGCTCTGGGGGCAAGCCAAGCCAGGCCCTGTAGCATGGGCAGGCGGCGGCAGCTCAGCTGTCGCTTGTCATGCAGTCCTGTCCTGATACGCTTCCGAGGTGGACATACAGCAGCTCTCCTGGAACACGTACAGACAGCACAGCAGCGACCAGGCCTTCCGCACCAAGGGGTGAGACCGCAGGTGCTGAAACAAAGGCCAAGGAGCGGCTGGAACAAAACTCCAGTGACCCAAGAAGCAGAACCTGCGCAGGAAGACGCCCTAGGCCCCTGACAGCCCAGCCCCAAGGCAGCAGGACATGGACTACACTGCGAAGCTGTAGCAAATCTCGCGTGGGGGTGGGAAGCTGTCTCCACGCAGCTCTCTGAGCATACGGCTGCCTTGGAGATTCCCAGGACCAGCTGCCTGTGGCTGGGCCACTAGACAAGCCTGGTGGGCACCCAGCTATAAACTTTGGAGCCACAAGTTAGAAAGAAACCGAGGCGTCAGTGTGGGTCAGGCGCGCCCTCTTGTGGTCAAAGGGGACATTGCCCGCTGCACTAGGGAGCGAGCAGGGAGTTGCTGTAGCAGTTAATCCTCCACCTGCAAGCACCAGTTCACGTCCCAGCTGCTCCCCATTTCCATCCAGCTCCTGTTTATGGCCTGGGAAAGCAGTGGAAGATGGCTCAAGGCCTTGAGACCCTGCACCCACATGGAAGACCCAGAGGCAGCTCCTGCTTCCCAGCTCATCTCACTTCTGGCCACTGCGGCTGTTTGGGGCGTGAGCCTGTGGACGGATGGATGGAGAGAGAGAGAGAGAGAGAGAGAGAGAG